AACATCAAACAAACAAACAAACAAACAAAAAGTACTGTGTTATCTCCTTGAAGGCAGAAAGATACAGCTGACAGAACCAATTTAGGAAGTGCACAGAGCTGTAAAAGAAGGAAGAGACACCCACCCGTCATAAGAGAAACCCATGTGAATCCAAATCCTTTGGTACATTCATTCACTGGGTGACTTCTAGAACATCCTCCCTGATTCTGGAATCACAGCCTCTTTGTGTGGTATAGACATGGGTGGGCATGTGTGTGTGTGTGTAGGCAGTGGTGGGCATGTGTGTGTGTGTGTAGGCAGTGGTGGGCATGTGTGTGTGTGTAGGCAGTGGTGGGCGTGTGCATGTGTGCAGAAGGATAGGTGTGGTATGTGTGTGGAGGCATGGGTGGGCATGTGTGTGTGTGTGCAGGATAGGTATGTGTGTGTGCAAAGGGCATGTGTGTGTGCAGAGGCATGGGTGTGTGTGTGTGTAAGGATAGGTGTGTGTGTGTGTGTGCAGAGGCATGTGTGTGTGTGTGTGTGTGTGTGTGTGTGTGTGTGTAGGCAGTGATGGGCGTGTGCATGTGTGCAGAAGGATAGGTGTGTGTGTGTGTGTGGAGGTATGGGTGGGCAAGTGTGTGTGTGTGTGTGTGTGTAGGCAGTGGTGGGCATGTGTGTGTGTGCAGAAGGATAGGTGTGGTATGTGTGTGGAGGCATGGGTGGGCATGTGTGTGTGTGTGCAGGATAGGTATGTGTGTGTGCAAAGGGCATGTGTGTGTGCAGAGGCATGGGTGTGTGTGTGTGTAAGGATAGGTGTGGGTGTGGGTGTTCAGAGGCATGTGTGTGTGTGTAAGGATAGGTGTGTGTGTGTGTGTGTGTGCAGAGACATGGGTGGGCATCTGCATGTGTACAGAAGGATAGATGTGAAAGAGTGTGTGGAGGTAGTGGTGGGCATGTGTGTGTGCAGAGGCATGGGTGTGTGTGTGTGTAAGGATAGGTGTGCGTGTGTGTGTGCAGAGGCATGGGTGGGCATGTGTGTGTGCAGACAGGAGCCTTGCAGAGGACAGCAGGATGTCTTTCCCAATTATTTCTCTCCATTTTTTGTGTAAGATAGGGCCTTACTATGTAGGCCTGTCTGGCCTAAAACTTACAGAGATCCCCCTAACTGCCTCATGAATGCGGGATTAACCCAGCTTCCACCCTTTTTTTGTTTGTTTTTTTTCAAGACAGGGTTTCTCTGTGTAGTCTTGGCTGTCCTGGAGCTTGTTCTGTAGACCAGGATGGCCTGGATCTCAGAGATCTGCCCGTCTCTGCCTCCAGAGTGTGCCTCAACACTTCCCAGCATATTTTTTGAGGTAAGGCCTCTCCTTGTTCCTAGAGCCCACTGTTTCAGCCAGGCTGGTTGGCTCATAAGTCCGGGAGAACATGGACACCCCAGGATCTGTCTCCACTCCTCCAGTTCTGGCATTGCCCTGATGTGCCTCCATGCCTGGCTTTTTGCACAGGTTTTAGGGACCCGGACTCAGATCTCCGTGTCTGTGCGACAGGCACTTTACCCACTCACTAACCCATCTCCCCAGGCCAACCCAAGCCATGTTTTGTGCAAGGCATGGTGGCACCCGCTTGTAAATCCACGCACTTAGGGGACCGAGACTAATTTCAAGGGTTCTCTGGACTACCTAGTGAAAGCCTATCTTAGAAGAAAGAAAAGAAAACCTGCTTCCCCTGGCTTGCATTGGCTGGAAAGAGGTGGCCTAGGCCCACTCTGAGCTCTCCCAGCTGGGACAGCCTCTCTCCCACGGAGACTCCTGGCCATAATGCCCGTGCTTGGGAGAACTAAAGGGCAGCGAGTCAGAGGTCTGATGCTAGGAATGGAGCTTCTCACAGAGGAGGGCGAGGCTGGCAGCCAATTGTCACCCTCCTTGGCTTTGACACAGTTAAGTGGCCTCTAGCTCTTATAGCCTTTGGTCCTGAGTTGTTGACACAGCCACCCAGTTACCCTGAGTTGCTAAGCAGCTCTATGGACCCATGGCTGATCCCCCAGGTGACCAGGCAGCCACGCCACAGAAAGCTGGGCATTCAAGGTTTGCTGGAGAGAATGTCTCTCTCCACCGAAGGGAGTGGCTTGTTAGGAGCGGTGTTTATCTTGCAGCTGGGCAACAGAAGGCCAAGGTGTCTGGGAGACTAAAACCATTTCCCTTGGCAACCTCAGTGGCCATGGGTAAGGGTGCATTTGATTCCCGTTTGAAAAAGGAGGACAGCGGTGGAGGAGGTAGCTGAGTTGGTATAGTGCTTGCCTGGGTATACATAGAGTCCTGGGTTCAATAGCCAGCACTATATAAAAATGCCAGGGTCCTATACAGCTGCAATCCCAGCATTTGGGAAGTGAAGGCAAGAGTCAGAATTCAGTTACCCTTGGCTACACAGTGAGTTTAAGGCCAGCCTTAGCTATATGAGACCATCTAAGGGAGGGAGGGAGGGAGAGAGGGAGGCAATCCCAGGATTAGGTAGAGAGGATTCACGGGTCCCCACTCTGCTAAGAGCACAGGAATGTGATTTGAGCAGATGGAAACCTAAACCTGTCCCATCAAGCTGTGGCCAAGGATAGTGGGGAGGGCCGGGTGCCTGAAGCCACAGACGGGAGGTAGTGTGCAGGGGTTCTGAGGGTGCAGCTAGTGGAGGAACCCCCACTCTCAGAGAGCACCTGTCACCAAGGGTTGCCTTTCTTTCACTCCCATGAACCCCGCTTCTTGGAGCCACTCCATCACAAATACAATCCTACGGATCAAATAGCTCATAATTATGCACCAGGTACATTCTTCAAAGGGACCGACAAGCATCCATCTGTGTCTAATGCATGTAAATCTCACGAGAGGTAAGCTGGACCTCGCAGGCACTCGTCTATCCCATGGTAGTTGGCCCTGTTGGCAAGGCATCATCAGACCCACTCTGAAGATGAGGAAACTGAGGCACACAGAGGCAAAGTAAAGTGACCGAACGCCATTTGCCACTTTTCCTCAGGAAGTGAACGGAAACAGGGCTCTACAAAGTAGGTTTGCTAATCTGCTTTGCCGGATTTGAGGTTCGGGGAAATAGCTGACACCAAGCAAAATGATAGAGCCCATGTCTGCGCATGTGTGGTCCAGACTGTGGCATTCAGAGTATGCTGATGATGCATGCTTTCAGACCTAGGTCCCTCCCCTTGGGACAGATCAGTGATATGTGGTACTCATGGGCATTGTGTGGTTTGAACAGGAACGGCCCCCAGAGGCTCATACATTTGAAGGTTTAGTCATCAGGGAATGGCACTGCTTGAGAAGGATGAGGGGGTGTGGCCTTGTCAGAGGAAATGTGTCACTAGGGGGTGGGCTTTTGAGGTTTCAGAAGCACAAGCCAGGCCCAGTGTCTCTTCCTTCCCCACTGCCTGCAGATCTGGATGTAGAACTCTCAGCTCCTTCTCCAGCATCGTGTCTGCCTGCATGGCACCACACTTCCCACCATGCTGATAAAGGACTAAACCTCTGAACTGTAAGCCAGCCCCAGTTAAGTGGGTTGTTTGTTTGTTTGTTTTGTTTTGTTTTAATAAGATTTGCCATGGTGTTCTGGTGGTGGTGGCACACACCTTTAATCCCAGCACTTAGGAGGCAGAGCATGCGGATTTCTGAGTTTGAGGCTAGCCTGATCTACAGAGTGAGTTCCAGGAAAGACTCCAAAGCTACACAAAGAAACTCCCTGTGTCTCGAAAAACAAACAAACAAAAAAAAAACAACACCCCAAACAAACAAACAAAAGGATTTGCCATGGTGTCATGTGTCTCTTCACAGCAACAGACACCCTAAGACAGACATACACATGACATGTGAGAGCTGAAAGGGGCCATAAAAAAACAGGTGCGAAGAAGGAAAAGGGAAGGGGTGTGTGTGTGTGTGTGTGTGTGTGTGTGTATGTTTGGGGAGGGGTCACACACTCCAGCACCCCACAGCTGGAGTTATTGTTATATCTACCATTTCTGCCCCTTTCCCTGTTTCTTTTCACATAAGATCCAGGGCTGGGTGGAAAGGAATGACAAAGAGGGAAGTCCCGCAATGGAGCAGGGCAGTTTTGCAGCACAGAGCTATGTGCCTTCCCCAAGATGCTCCACATTCCCCAGTGAGCCTGGTCATCGCTTTCGCCCTGTTCCTGCCTAATGCTCTCTTCCCCCTCTTACTCTGTAGTCTCAGAAATAGACAGAATGGCAGCAGGCAGGAAAGGGATGGATGCCGCTGCATCTGCTGGCACCAAGACCGGAGGAGCTCGATGTCAGGCACAAAGCCACGGGTTTGTTTTCAGAAGAGCAGGGAGCCAAAGCAGGCTCCTGGGTAGCAGATGACATAATGGAGAGATGTTTCAGGAAGGCTGGACCAGAAGGATCTAAGAAACAGGCTGGCAGGAGGGACCTGGAGACTATAGTAATGAGGACAGAGCTGGATAAAGGCTGTAGCGGGGTAAGGGGAAAAAAGAATGCTCATTTGGAAACCCTCAGAGATAGAGAATTGGTAGCTGGTTAAAAGTGGGAAGAAGAAGAAGGACCAAGATGTTACCTAGGACTCCAGGGTGCCTCAGCTTGGTGGGGGGGCCATGATAATGGCAGATATTTGCCCAGTGGGGAGTTCAGGGAGGAGATGGTAGAAGACAGGGTTGTTGAGGGCTGACCACGTCTTCGCTTTGTTGCTTAACGTCCTCCTGACAAAGGGACAGACCTAGGTCTTAGCAGGCGGCAGGCCTGTACTGCACTGGGCTGTGAGTCAGACCCAGGTGGAGGAGATTCATCACACTGCCCAACACCTGAATGGCAAATGGCATCACCATGAACTCCTGACCCTAGTGTCATCTGACCTTGTCAATACCCATTGCTCCGAGGGAAAGAAGCCAAGAGGAAGAGGACCTGGAAGCCGGTGAGGTCCCTGTGTGTAGCAGGAACAGGTACACAACCCTGGCTCTGCTCCTAATAACACACCCTGAGGACACCTGATAGCTAGCGGTAGGGTGGAACTTTTTATTTGAAGCAAGGGAATAGCATTGCCCCCAGGTGCCTCAAGGTGTCGGACCCAAGAAATCCTTTCAATCCGGCCATTTCCTGCTTCTGGGCCGCTGTTTCCAGTGGACAGCAGAGGGCAGCAGAAGCCTGATTCCCAGGCGCCCTTCTTGCCCCCTCATCCAGCCTCCACCGAGTCACACTTCCAGGGGCGTCTTCATGGGATGGAGAGGTGCCAGGGGCCCCAACATGTGCCTGGCACTCACACAAGTGGCTCGGGCACTCTCAGGAGCAGTCACAGTTCAGGGTCCACATCCCCAAGGTGGGGCCCGAGAGGAGATGGCCCCATCTTGAAAAAGCAATCGCTACCCAGGGAAAGCCTTCCCACCTCTGTCCAGGCGAGCTGGGACTGAGTCAGGGAAGAAAACTCTAGTGAGAAGCAAGGTATCCTGCACCACGAAGAACCCAATTGCTGTTGCCTCTGTTGCTGTTATTGCTTCAGGATGAAGGCGCTTTGTCCCCAGGAGGCCACGGCCATGCTTACTGTTATTATCATCAGCAGCCACATGGGGGGCACACTGGAGTGAGCGGAGGAGGTGTCGGTGCTGGAAGGCACCTTCCAAGTAGAGCGGCTAGGCTTAGCGACAGCAGGGAAGCCTGTTTTCTTAGCACCCAGTCTACACGTGTGCACACTCCCAGACATGTGCATATATAGAAAGAAGTGTGTGGCCCGGTATGCACAGGTATGTAACCCAGGATGTCCAACACTGTCCACGGGTGCATGCAAAAGGAGCATGGCGTGGGCACACCTGGAGAGAGGCTGCAACTGTGGATGCCAAACAGGCACACGGACACCTCGAGCATCCAAAGGAAAGGCCAGGGGGCAGAAGGCAAAGCCGAGAAGAAAAGGCCATGGTTCACCCATTCCTGCACCCGTTTGCGTGGCTCAGACACACTTAGCGAGGGAGCAGAGCATGGGGGCACTGTAGATAAGGATGTACGCATAGAGGAGAACCTGAACTCTGGGTGCCTGGTGCATACGTAGGTGTTGATTACAGTAATGGGGATGGCTTCCCGGGTCTGTGCCCAGGCCCACTTCTGTGTGTATGTGTGTGGGGGCACAGATATAGACCAGCCACATGTGACTTCGCTTGGAGCCACAAGTTGCTCACAGAGGTTTCCACCCATCTTACAGTGCCACCCTGAGGAACCCAAAGGACTCAACTTCCTTCTAGGCACTGAGATCCACCACGACATGTCGGTACACCAGTGTTTGTCCCTTGAAACTGGGGGCCAGGAGCAGCTGGGCATCTCCAGCAGGCATATAGCAGAAGGCCCGAGGAGCCTGTACGGCCAGCTCCTGGAACCGTACAAACTTCTGTCGGCCCTCGTCCCACTGGTAAATCTGTGTGAAAGAGAAGTCACTGCCCAGTGCCAGGTAGCGGTGGCCACCTACCAGGAAGGGCTGGAGGGCCAGCGAACCCCGGGAGGGGAGAGCCTGCACCTCAGAGAAACGGGTACCCTCCCAGCGCAGGATCTTGGAGTCACCGATGTAGCGACTAAGACACAGGTAGCTGTCGCGGCCAGCACGAAAGTGTTTCACGGCCTGGGCATCAGGCACCTGAGTCACCTCTCCCTGCGCCACAAACTGCTTCTGAGAACGACTCCACTGATAGATGACAGGGGCTTGAGAACTGCTGGACACTATCAGCCGCGGCTTGCCCTCACCGTCAACAAACTCCAGGTCAGTGTCGCGGTGCCAGGCGTGCAGGGCCTGGTGGGAATAGAAGCCATTCTGGTGCCAGCGGTAGAGGCTAGTGGCGCCTGCCTTGGAGCTGTCAGCCACGGCAAAGTACCAATCACCATCAATGCGGAAGGCTTCCAGGTCATTGGGCTTGCGCACGCGCTGGGGGTCGATGTCCTGCAGCTTGGTGAAACGTGTGGTGTTGGGGTCCCAGTGGTAAATGTACGAGCCACCAAACAGCTGGGCCACGATGACATAGAGCTGGCCGTCCACCACCATCGGCTTGCAGTGCACAGCTGAGGGGGCTGCCGGGACAGAGGCAGGTGGAATCAGTCAGCGTCAAATAGCTCCCCCCTTTCTCACCCAAATGAAAGATCAAAATCCAAACATGCCCCACAGCTGAGATCTGCTAAGAATCCCACTCCCAGCACAGCCCCACCCAGGACTCAGGGTCCATAATTGGTTTTGTTTATTTGTGGATTCAGGGAAGCCCTGGCTGACCTGGGCCTTATGATACAGACCAGTCTGGTCTTTAACTTGCAGTGATTTTCTTTCTCTACCTCCCAAGTGCTGGGATTACAAGTGTGAGCCATCATACCCAGCAAGCTTTGCTTTGTTTTGTTTGTATTTTCCCTCTGAGACAGGGTCTCGCTATATAGTCAAGTCTGGTTTTGAATTCTTCATATTTCCCCTTCACCTCTCAAACGCTGGGATTATCGGTTGAACCATCATTAGTCCAGGACTTTGTACGTGCTAGGTAAGCACTCTACCCACTGAGCTTCATCCCTAGCTCTCAGTATTGAATTTACTTTTTTTTTTTTTTGATGTGGAGTCTCTCTGGCTGACTTTGAACTTGTCCTGGATGACCTTGAACTCACAGAGACCCACCTTCTTTGCTTCCCAAGCACTGGAATTAAAGGCGTGCATTCTATCAATGCTATTTTGTAGCTACTGGCCTTTCTCAAACCCAGTAAAATTTTTAGGGGCAGAAAAAAGATGTCATCCATTCTTCTTCTTTTAGGAATTGACTGGAGCTGGACAAGAGAGCCTTCTGCCACCTTCCCCTGGATAGGCCCAGCACAGGCAGGTAGGTCACAGGCAGCTACCTGGAATTCTATCATAGTCTCGGAGCTGCCGTTCCACGTAGTCCCACTTCAGGATGGTGCAGGCGCTGGCACCCGGCTGGGCCAGTGCCAGATAGAGGTCGCTGGAGTAAAGGAAGGGTTCTGCTGACACCGCGGGGAAGGACAGAGTCTGGTAGAGGACGAAATCTACAGGGACAAGAGGCACAGGTGGGTGGGATCCACACAAAGGAAAAAGGCACTAGCCCGCTGGGCGGCAGCTGGGACCTGGCTACAAAAGCTGGGCGTGCCCAGCTGGGTGGCCTTCAGTCAGAGGCCGGGTCCATCCTACCAGTGGTGATGCAGTCGAACTCCCGAAGGGGCAAGTCTTGCACCTTGTGGTCCTGGAAGCGGGGCGGGCTGGCACAGTAGATGGGGGCCACAGTGGTGTTGGTGTGTGCCAGCCACTCCACCAGCCACTTCACCTTGCAGTCACAGTTAAGGGCATTGCCCCGGAGGTCTCTGGATTGGGAGGGAGGGACACAGAAGGGGAGAGCCTCAGCTGCTCTGCCCAGCAGCCTCCTTGGCCTTCAGAAACTGCTGGGAATGGCTCAGAGTCCCCACAGCACAGGCGTGGTCAAAGGCGTGCTGGCTGAGCCTAGGCCCTGTTTGCTTACCTACCTGACCAGGCGCCTTTTTTGTTTGTTTGTTTGTTTGTTTTTAAACTTGTAATTTAAATTTTGTGACTCTGGGGATTGGAGCCAGGGCCTTGCATACTCTAGGCAAGTGCTCCAAATCACCAGTGCTACTTTTACTTTCTAATCATAAGACAAAATTTTACTGCTTGTGATCCTCCTGCTCAGCCTCCTGAGTGTCTGAGATTACAGGCCTATAAAGTTGGTCCTGATAGCCAGGCACCTTTTGCATGGCCAACCTATCCCATTTCATGTTGCTTCCCTATTCCTCCAACCTTGACAGAATTCAGGAGCTTCTCTCTCTCTCTCTCTCTGTCTCTCTCTCTCTCTCTCTCTCTCTCTCTCTCTCTTATATAAATAATGGCAAATGACTGCAGACATGCTAGAGTTCTTTACTGTTAATTCAAATCAACCATACATTAAAAACAACACAAGTCTTCCATACATATCTAATATACATTTGAGGAGGACTATGGAGACTTGAAGAGCCACAATTTGGAAGGCTCTCAGCTATAGCTAACTACCCCATCTTCTCAAAGTCCCCAAACCTAACCCCCTTCCAGTCTCTGATCACCCTAATTCTGGCTCCCATTGTACACCCTCCAGTGGTATGCCCTCTGTGGCACTGTGGGAAGAGGCAGGATTTAAGCCTTACAAGTCACTCAGGATGTCCAGGGGACGAAAGATGTCTCTGGGCAGTGTCTGCAGGTTATTGTTGGCCAGTGAGCTGCAAGAAAGACCCCAGGGTCACCTAAAAACCATGACCAAGATCCAGGGAAATCCAGGGGACACACGGGTCCCAATCGCATGTGGGCACAGATATCAGGTACTCACAGGTGTGTCAAGGACTTGAGTCCTCGAAAGGTAAACTTGGAAAGTGCCCAGATGTCATTGTTCTCGATGAAGCTGGAGAAAATAAGAACCTGCCTTAGTTGCCGTTCAGAATCAAAGACCTCCCCCCGGCACTGATTTTCTTACATCTGAGGCCAGAGCCCAGCCCAGGAGCCAGAGATAGACTTCTATAGCGTGCAGTAACAGCACAGCAGTAGTGACAGGGTGTTAGGCATGGGTGAGATGGCCTTCTGCTCCATCCTGCTGTTGGGAGCCTCAAGGGCTCTTCCCTCCCATCCCACTCCAAGCTGCCTTCTCATTCACAGCACTTCCCCTCAGCCGGCTCAGGCCAGGGCTCCCTCCTTCTACCCTGCCGTTGACCCTTCCCTCCCACACACAGGTACTGCAGGTGCGACAGTCCTATGAAGGCATTGTCTCCAATGAGCGTGAACTTGTTGGAGTTGAGTAACCTGGGGAGACAAAGGTGGAATTAGAACTTGCAAGGGTGTGCCTGCTGCCCATGCCCACTGCCCCACTCTTGAGCTTCCTCAAGATCTGTCTGCCCTTCCTCCAAACCTCAGGACCCCCTGGACAGCAAGACCAGGTGTGAACTTGTTTTCCATATCACAAGCTCCCCGTTTGCTCCTGAATATGATGGGAGGCAATGCTGCCCTGGTAACTTGGCTCCTGGTCCACCTCCATAGCATCTCCTCTTCCTGTCTTCTCACCCTCTGGGCAACCCACTCTAGCCCTGGGCAGACAGCTGTCCACCATGCTTCCCAACCGCTGATCCCTGGAGTTATCTGTATCTAAGAGGACCCCCTCCCTTGAAGCACCCAGTCTTTGGCGCTGGCCCAAGCCCTTACACCCAATTCCCTGTGTTCTACATCCCACATTCTTGGCTTCTGTGTGCAGTTCCCCTGCTGCCTGGCCTCCTGACCCCAGGCCACTCCACCTTCTGCTGCATTTTCTAGCAGGGCATCTGCATTTTCAAACACTACGTCCACCTACTCTCCCACAAGCTCAGCATCTATCTGACTCTAGCACGTCCCCACCCGTCCTTCCACAAGGCCATCCATACAAGAACTGTAACAGTGGCAGGTGGGAGAAGGCTCCATCTTGGATCTCTGAGAACGCAGCATTCACCAGGGTCCTGCAAAGGAACATAGGAGTCAATACGGGGTAAGCATCTGAAGGACCTGTACTGGGCAACAGAGGTAGACAGGGCAGCCAATGGCTTCTGTTCTCAGCAGCCCTAGGCCCCACCTGTATCTGTCCTTCACTTCTCAACTCAATGCCCTCCTTCACCGTTTTTCTCCCCTGCTGCTTCCAGGAGCACCAGTGGCCCCAAGGCTCCCCTTCCCTCTCAGTCAACCAAGCAGGTTCCATTACCATCACCATTGCCATTATCCAACACCCACAACGTGTTGGTGCTGCTGAGGGATGGGGCAGATGTGGGACCTGGCAGCCTCTCCAGTCCCACAGGCAAGGGGCGGGGGCCGTGGGCCAGTTGCTGCAAGTGAGGCTGGCCCAGCTGTGTGCAGAACAGCAGACCCAGGGGCAGGAGTCTGGCCCGTGCCAAGATACCACGAGGGCCATCTCACTTGTCACCCCTCCCCCTAATGCCATCAGTCCTCCTGCTTTCTGCCCTTGGTGTGACCTCACAGGGAGGGGCCCACACGCTCCACGTAGTCACTCCCTCCAACCCACACTTAGTAGGTCTCATTACACTACTGGTGATGATTCATTCTTGGCCATGAACTCTGGTTTTCCCGAGCTATGGATGCTGTAAGATTACAGAGCTCTCTGCAGACTGGGGCCTGAAAGTCCCCAGTTAGGAGGAACCCCGGGGAGTGCTCCAGGTCTGTATCCTCTGAAAAGAGGAACAGGGTTTCTCTCTTCCAGAGCCCTCGGTGCCCTCCTTCCCTCCCCCCTCCCGCCCCCAAGGCTATGTACACACTCACAGGGAGATGACCTCTGAAGGCAGGTTCTTGGGCACTGCCTTAGAGTCCACGCAGAAGGCGGTGTCCCTGGTGCAGGAGCAGCTGGGTGGGCAGGGGGGCGTCTTAGGAGGCTTCTTGGCACTGGCTTGTAGCATTAGACAAAAACTCAGCGTAGACAGCACCAGTAGCCTGCGCCCAGGGCCCAGCCTGGCTCGTAGCCCGGCCATGCCTCCTACAGGGTCTCCCCTGTGCCGGCGCCCCGCTGCTCCCTGCAGGCTGCTCTGCTCCTCTCGGGAGCTTCCACCTCAGGGCTGCCGCAGCTCTGGGTGACCCGCACCCTAGGCGCCACCTATTCCTCCTGACCTCAAGCGCTGGCTGCAGTCCTTTCAGCTCGGAAGCGCTGCGCGGAACTGGGATTGCAACTACCGGCTGCCGGGGCTGGTGGACGCGGACTGCGGCGCGGGCGGCGGGGGCGCGCGCGGGGGCGGAGCGGGGAGGCCCAAGCCGGGCGCCCGCGGGAGAACAGCCAAAGGATGGAGTGGTAGCACCCGTCCGCAGCGTGCCCTACCAAGCCACCAGCCTCTATGTCTGATCTCCAGGGTTGTGTGTGTAGCGAGTGCATTTGTATGAGAATATGCCTGTGCACGGGTGCTCATGGATCTGTAGACCTACATGCACCTGTGTGGATGTCTTGGCTGTGAGGGGGCGTAGAATTCAGGGGTATGTCGCAAGTGACTCACGTACATCCAGGTTGGCATGAGAGATTGGGAGCTTGAGGGTGCGAGCGTGTTTGCAACAGCTGAGGAACAGAGTGTGCCCTTGTGCCTATGAGCTGAAAAGGGAAAGGTAGCCGCTGACTCTGGAGTAGGAAGTGTGGAATCCGGGAACGTTTCACACTTCATGACCGCAGTCCCATGGAGCTGGTAGCACCTTGGATGTGCTCCAGCTCAGGTCTTCGTTTTATCAACAAGGAAGCTGAGGCCACGAGAAAGGGAAAAGAAGCCAAACTCCGTATCTCTACCGTGTACTTGACATGGTTAATTGGCTGGCCCTTTGATGGGAAGGGACATTAATTTCCTTCTACAGATAAGGAAAGTGTAGCCTTAGGTTCAGAACTCCAACTTCAAGTTCACAACAACCCTTCTCCATCAGTGCCCTTCAAAGGGAAACTTTAGAAGTCCAAACTCCTTGAGAACCTTCCACAGAGTCTTGAGGTCAACACACTCTACCTAAGAAGGACATTATTTGTCTTTTTCACTTGCATGCTGTCATAAAAACACTCTGGAATTTTCCAAAGCTATATGGCAAGTCTTTTATGAAACCTCAGACGAAAGGGATTTGCAAAAATATAACAGCAACACTTCTTTCTACAGCTATTTTTGTTTAAAAAGGCAAAGGCATATGGGTTGGCAAGACAGCCACCCCAGCAAGTTGTCACCAAGCCCAATGACCTGAGTTCAATCCCAAGGGCCCCCACAGGCGAATAAGAAAACTAAATTGTGAAAGTTGTCCTCTGATCGCCACATGCATGCCAAGGCATGATAATAATAAATAATAAATGCAATAAGTACATCCCTAAATAAATAATAAATGCAATAAATTTTGTTAAAGATGTAGATGCCTGGGAATATGATTCAGTGGGAGCATGTACAAGGCCCTGGGTTCGAGCCCCCAGCATGGGGTTGGGGCTGTCGTTCAGTTCTTAGTGTTTGGTATTAATGGGGTTCATTCTCCAGACCCACATTTTTTTTTTTTTTCGAAACAGGGTTTCTCCGTGGCTTTTGGTTCCTGTCCTGGAACTAGCTCTTGTAGACCAGGCTGGCCTCGAACTCCCAGAGATCCGCCTGCCTCTGCCTCCCAAGTGCTGGGATTAAAGGCGTGCGCCACCACCGCCCGGCCAGACCCACATTTTTTAAGGGTATAAAGATGTACGGCTATAATCCCAGCACTTGGCAGGTAGGAAAAAGAGAATTTCAAGGTTATTTTCAGCTCTATATCATGTTTGAGCTTAGCCTGGGATACTTGGGACTTTGTCTCAAAAACAAAACAAAGAGGTATGTGAGCCAATCAGGTATAGTAGTGCATGCCTGTATCCAAACACGCTAGAGAAGTGGTTCTCAATCTTCCTAATGATGCAACCCTTTAATACAGTTTCTCATGTTGTAGTGACCCCCAACCATAAAATTATTTTTGTTGCTACCTCATAACTATAATTTTGCTACTGTTTTTGAATCATAATGCAAATATCTGATACGCAGGATATCTGATATGTGACCCCTGTGAAAGTGTCCTTTGATCCCCAAGGGGGTCTCAACCCATAGGTTGAGAACAGCTGCTCTAGAGGGAGGCTAAGGGCAAGAAGATCAAGAGTTCAAAGCCAACCTGGCCATATAGGGAGACCTCATCTAAGAAAAAAAGGCATCTTCTCAAGCTGGCCTGCTTTCACCATCAGGGGAAATCCCTGCTCTGAGTTAAAGTCCCCCAGGCTGTTCCTTCAGACTGAGATACTTCTGCTTTTTGACTCCCACTGGCCTCTGCTGGTCCAGCTGTCCATCTGCCTTGTGCATGCCAGCTTGAGGGAAAGGAGCAAGGAGGGGTAGGGAGGTTGGCTGGGGCAGCTGGACAGCCATCCCCACTCGTCCCTGGCACGGCTTTGCCCAACACACAAAGGCCAGAGTGAATCTTGTCCTGGACCGTGCAGCTGAGGGGCTGGGAGCGGGAAAGGGATAGTGGCCACTGTGAGGCTTTCCACTACCCGAGGGCAACCCAGAGACGAGGGGGAGGAGTCTGGATCCTAGGCTTAGTCAGTGAAAGGCTCCTGTGGATGAAGTAGAAGATACTGATGACGACTGGCCTTCTATACCCATGAAGTCATTGGCATGTCAGGACAGCTTAGCGGGGGGACGAGACAGGTGGCAGCAGTCCCGTTTTAGAGATGAACACAGTAAAGTCTAGAAAACAGTACTTCCTGTGGGTTCCAGAGCTTCTAGGGAAAACACAGACCTCATGTACCGAAGGACTTACAGAAGGAACCTGCTTGTGTTGGCTAACAGTATTTTTTTTTTGTTTTTGTTTTTTTGAGACAGGGTTTCCAGGGTTTCTCTGTAGCTTTGGAGCCTGTCCTGGAACTAGCTCTTGTAGACCAGGCTGGCCTCGAACTCACAGAGATCCACCTGCCTCTGCCTCCTGAGTTTAAAGGCGTGCGCCACCACCACCCGGCTTTGCCTAACAGTCTTATGGTTGCATATGATCACATATGGGCTGTGTGCTTGCTCCTTGCCCTGTGACAGGTTCACAGAAACACAAAGAAAACATATTCACTTCTCTCCGTTTGGGAAGACAGGGTGACAGCCTTCCTCCCAGCTTTTATAGCTGACACCAGTTAACATGGTGTGTACTGAATGGCAGGTAAGTTGTGTCGGGGGTGGTGGCAGTAAAAGGATTTCAGAGTCGGGGCGAGGATGGAGGGGTCACAGAGCAGGTGCCGTTGACTTTTCGGCTTTCTAGGAAGAGTGGTATCCACCGTAAGGACTAGCATCAGTGAACGCAAATAAAGAAGGCTGTACAGGCTGCACCCCAGGGCTGGTCTGGGGAGCAAGGTTGAGGGCTGTGTCTGCCTAGCTGAAGAGACACCTTCCCTCCTTCCCCAATCCCTCTCTCCCCATCATCCTCCCTTCTTTCCAAGGAACCCAAGACCCCTACTAGGAATTGAAAAAAATCTGCAATTCACTCAGGGAAGTTGGCCAGCAGCTTTTCCCAGACCCCAAACTGACAAAACCAAGTTGTTACTCTTGTTTTCAAGTCATAATGCTGTGAGAACCCAGCCTAAGGGCAGCCTGCAGGGGAGACTGAGGACCTGGGGGAACACAGAGCTCTTCTCTCCACACTTAGTGATGATAGCAAGCCCCAACTGTAGCTCCTGTTCAGAATAAGTACCACAAGTAGACACTGTGCTTCCTCACATGCCCACAGGGACCCCGAGATGCCCGCAGTTCTTCTTGGCTCTCCTGCTGCCCTGCTGCCCACCTGGCTCAGGCCCAGTGTGTGTGAGTCAGACATCAATCACAAGGTTTCCAGGACAACCCAGGGTAGGAGTGGGAGCCTGGGGGGAATGGGCAGGGAGGTTGGTAGTGCAGGCAGGCGTCTTTTACATCTGTGACCTGCACACCACCAAGGGGAGAGCACACTGGCTTTCCCCTCCTTTCCTTCCCTCGGCCCTCCCCTTCTACTCACTCTAAGACCCTTTGCTGGGCCCTGGGAGGCTTAGGCAAATATTTAAGGAGGTAGTTAGAGGGGCGCGGAGGATGGTGGGAGCAAACATTTCCTTCCTTTTCTCTCCACTAAATGTCTCAGGAGCTCTCATTTCAGATGCCATGCAGTTGTACAACCTTGAGAGGAGGTCCTTCAGCTGGAGAGGGAACCCTTGGGGGACAGGGGAGGTTGTCAGGGCTGGAGAGAAGGGGGCCAGCTCATGATCAAAGGGAAGGGCAAGGTGCTAAGGAGCCTGGGGCCTGGGCTAGGAAGCTGGCTGACCTTTCAAAGTCCCATAAGGCTGGCTCTCTGCATCTCTAGGTTTGGTCTTCACCAATTCGACAGTAGATGGAGCTGAGCATGGTGGCTCATGGCTGTAATCTTGCCCTCAGGAAGTGAAGCCAAGAGGATCGCCACCAGTTCCCGGCCAACCTGAGCAGAAAATAAGGCTGTCTCAAAATAAAAACAAGGGACTGGAGAGATGGCTCTTGCAGAGGATCAGAGTTCAATCCCCCACACCCAAGTAAGGCAGTTTACAAAGGTCCGTGACTCCACCTCCAGGGAATCCGACTCTTCCTATGGCCTCCACAGGCCCTGCATGCACGTGGTGCATAGATGCACATGCAAGTGAAACATAAATCTCAAAAACAATTTCTTTGGAAAGATTTAAATTGTTTTTCCATATTTGTAGTTTTGATACTGTATGTATGTTTTCAAGGCTGATCATTTGGCACTGGAAAACAAATTAGTGTGTCCTTCTCCGGAGAATGCCATCTCTCTGACTGCCCCCCAGCTTTCCTCGGTTGCCCATAGCTTTTTGTATAGGATTTAGGCCTTGTGGGCTTTCCCCATCCCGTTTGGTGCATCTGTTGGTGGCACCCTTGTTTAACTCACGTTTGGGTGGTGATGTTGGTGAGACTTGATGTGTGTAGCTTTTGGAATTACTGGGAAACAAAGTCAAAGCCTCACAGCAAACTCCCTGCTCCTGATTCTATGATTCTTTCTTGTTGGGGGGGGGGTCTAAAGTCAAATTAAAGAGTTGTTGGTTACTCAAAGGCATTTTTTATTTTATTTCTTTTTTTTTTTTTTTGGATTTTCGAGACAGGGTTTCTCTGTAGCTTTTTGGTTCCTGTCCTGAAACTAGCTCTTGTAGACCAGGCTGGCCTCGAACTCACAGAGATCCGCCTGCCTCTGCTTCCCGAGTGCTGGGATTAAAGGCGTGCGCCACCACCGCCCGGTCTCAAAGGCATTTTTTAAAGCATACACGAGAGTATGCAAGTGTGTGTAACTTCTTTAGTCTATTTTGTACAAGGGACTTGCACACCTGTGGGTTTGCTGTGTCCAAGAGGAGTCCTGCAAGCAATCTGGGAGACAGAAGGGGCAGCTGTGTAGGAGA